GAGAGAGAGAGAGAGAGAGAGAGAGAGAGAGAGAGAGAGAGAGAGAGGGAGGGAGGGAGGGAGGGAGACAGGAAAGAAGATAGACAGACCGACCGACCGACCGACCGACCGACCCTCAAGGGATGGTTTCATAGTATGGTTCATTCCAATATGTTCTGTTTGCACTGATGTTTTGGGTCAAACCCGTATGATTCAGCAGTTGTTCAACACTGATAATTCAGAGTTGTTGCATCCCAGAAGCCATTTAGTTTTGGTTCCAATTCAGAGGGAAAAAATAAAAATTCATTCTGGTTTTTAGTTCAGATTTAGTTTGACTTCTGATCCAAACACATCGTATGTACTCATTCCATTTTACTGTCGTGGATCAGACTGAAGCCCCTGAGCCATCCACTGCCATTTCACTTACTCCTCGTTAAAGTGAATGCACTGGGACTCTGTTGATTTGCTTCTTCCCTTCACGGTTCTCATATTATCTTTGCACTGTGCATTAGGTTACAAGCTGTACTGGCAAAGATCTGTATTTTACTTTTTGCACAGCATGTAATAGAATACTGAAGTGAATAATAACAACAAGGCCTTGCAAAACAAGCCCTTTAGTTTGATATGGTTTACAGTCAGTGTGCATTTTCAGCCTATACTACAGTAATTCAATTAAACATTGAGGCATCAGATTGAAATTCCATAAGGCTGCATGAAAATTCATGGCACGAATCTATTTGTTAAGTTTGGGATTCCAGCTCCAATTACTCAGGTTTTCAAGGACACGCAGTACATGTCCTCCTTGAAAACCGAGATGATGGATGAAAGTTCATGTCTGCGTCCTTGTCCTATTATGGCTGGTTTGGGGCTTAGCCCTGTGGCAAACTGGGGGCAAATTCATTTAGTGAAGTGAGGAAGCAAAGGGTCAAAACACAGCAAAAAGGGCAGTTCAAAGCAGGAGAAGTGAACAGGCAGGCAAAATGTCAAGAACACAGTATTACTAATCCAGCAGAAGTGCAGTCCAAAACCAGACCCTTATCGGAAGTCATCAGTATCAACAGTCAGTCCAAGGAATAAAGGTGCTGCTTCAGCAGCTAATAAGCCCCAACTGAAGGGCTGTGGCACTTTCAGACACCCACCCAAAGGCTTAAGGGAAAAGTCTTTGCTTAGAAGGGCCCTATTCATAAGAAGTCCTTTGCTCCGAGGTAGCCTAGTTACTGTGTTTCTTGAGACATGCATTTGGTCTCTAAGCAGAGGGCTGTGCATCCACCTTCTGGAGCTGCTTCATTCTAGGGATGGACAGATACTCAGCCTCTTACCTCATGGGTGAAGTCTGGTCCCCAGGAGACCTGTCTGGGCCTTCCTTAGGACCCTCTACTGGCATAGCATCCACACCAGTACCAGAGATGCTTCTGGTCTAATAGGACCAGTGGGTTCCATAAAGGCTTTAGAATCTTCTTCTGAAGAATCATCCTGGCCTGGTTATCAGTCACATGACACCCATGTTTTGAAATAATGAACTCTACATTAAATTTTGTTCTGGTCTTGCATTCTTTCTCAAGGGAGCAGTATCGAATGTGATATTGGAATGAATGTTAGTAACACAGAACAAAAGAGAGAAAGTTCTCAGGCGCCTGCAGAAAAAGCTTCTTTTCAACAGGTACAACAAAAAGCTCAACGTGTTTCAGAAGAAGTGTTTCCTTAGAGTCTCCCTCCCCCTCACACACAAATGCATTTGGAAAAAAATAAAACATGTTCTCAGGGACTGGAGAACTTTCATTTGCTCCTTGATTCACAAGTGCCTTTCTCTCTTGTTTTGGTGTACAAAGCACGGGGCATCTTCATGGTGCAGTGATAAATGTTAACAAGCATGTGTTCATCATGACAGTCCCCACAGCCTTGCCCCCAGCATCAGCCGAGCAGTGCATGGGGCTGTGTTGATCCATATCAGCAAACAAGTAATACAAGATCATTTGCAAGAAGCAGCTTCTTTGTACAGATCATGGCGGTCGTTGCACAAGTCACCCTAAAATACTTTATGGCACAGAACAATATATTGTTGCTTGGATAATTCATTTCCCATACAGCTATTCTATGGATTGCTGCTAAGCTAGGGGAACGGGAAAGCAGTGGGTGGGGGCAGATGAGGTCAGCATCCCTGAAAATAAAGGAGGATTGTCACTGCTTCACCGCAAGCCCTGATTCCTTTATGTCACTCTACAGAACAATACGTCCCCAGTTCTACCCAATCTTATCATTGTTATCAACATATTTATTTATATGCTGCCTGTTCTTGCTACTGAGACTCAAGGATACTTGCAACATATGTATTTTAAAAATAACTAGGAATGCACAAACGTTAAGAATATAATTAAATCTGTGGAATATTGAGAGCAAGATGCCTTGACCCTTCCCCACTGTAGCCCCCAACGTACTTCAGAGAGCTGCTTCTGAGGACTCAGGAAAGGCCTGAAATGGGGCATAGGGGCTTGAGTGGGAGTCTGTATTCACAAAAGCTGACTTAGTCCAATCCAATATCTAAGCCTCCATCTCTTGTCCCCCAGCCTGTACCCTGGACTTTCCCGATGGTCATATTCTTAGGGATGGTGATCCGCCTTGAACACTATTCTTGGTGGAAATGGGCTGTGTATATAATTTTGAGCCTAAGAGAGACTTTCCATGTGATACTGGAGTTTGAATTGGGATTGAGAGAAGAAGGCAGGGATTTCCCCCGGTGCTCATGCCCTTGGATGCATGGCACACTAGATAAAATCTGCACCTGTTCAAAAATGCTGACAGATCTGTTCAAACATGTTGCGTTTCACTAACAGTAATGTCAACAATTGTAACTTGATATCCTTTTATGTAGAAATACAGAAGAAAATAAATGCCCTTGTGACTGATTTATGTTTACTCTAAATATACAAATTACTTTGTATTAACTGTACCTACTTTCACTCCCTTGACTGTATAAAGTATTGACTGTTAAATTGCATAAACAAGCCCTTTGGAAGGGATTGACTCTGTCACACCAGTCATCCCAGCATAAACCAAACTGT